AGATGTCAGGGTGGTTGAAATCCCCCATGAGATCCAGAGCTTGTAAACATGAAGCTGCTGCTATCTGTTTATAGAGGGCCTCATCCACTCAGTCTTCCTGGTCTGGTGGCTTGTAGCAGATGCCCACTATGATGTCTCCTGCCTTCCCAGGGTCGTGGGAGGTGGTTTTTACCCTCTACTCTGCTTTAGTGTGATCCCATCTGGAGTACTGTGTTTAGCTCTGGAGTCCTCAGTAAAAGAAAGACATGGAACTGTTAGAGCGGATCCAGAAGAGGGCCACAAAAATTATCAGAGGAATGGAACACCTCTCCTATGAGAAATGGTTGAGAGAGTTGGGGTTGTTCAAGCCTGGAGAAGAGAAAGGTCTGGGGAGACCTGATTGTGGCCTTTCAATACTTAAAGAGGGCTTATAAGAAGGATGGGGACAGACTTTTCAGCAGGGTCTGTTGTGATAGGACAAGGGGTAATGGTTTAAACTGAAAGAGGGTAGATTTAGATTAGATATAAGGAAGAAATTTGTTTACAATGTGTGGTGAAACACTGGAACAGGTTGTCCAGAGAGGTGGTAGAAGTCCTATCCCTGGAAACATTCAAGGTCAGGTTAGACAGGGCTCTGAGCAACCTATCTAGCTAAAGATGTCTCTGCTTATTGCAGGGGGGGTGGGACTAGATGACCCTCAAAGGGTCCCTTCCAACCAAAAACATTCTATAATAAACTTAGTTACTTCACACATACTCTTCCTTACCTGCGCACTTGAAGTAATATCCTCTCGTTGCTGATCTGTCATTACAGCAAGTGTATCAAAAGGATCTTTCTCACAAGGGTCCAGAAGGCCAGGGCCACCTACAATGGTTAGGCTAATTAGTAGGACATCTCTACCTTATTTCAACCAAGATTACAGATTTTACAATTAGCTAAACAGACGTATACAGACACTGATCAAATGCAGCTTGCCTTTAAGAATGATTCCGGAAGATATACACTCAAAAACTCTTCTCAGTGCATCCCCAGGACTCTGTGGCCCGGTAGCGCTGCTAATTGCTTTTTCCACAAGCAACTCCATAGCCTAGACCAACAATAAGAACATCCAGCCAATTAAGAAGACTGATTAAAACAACAAAAGCTACTACTGTTGTTTAATGTAGAACTTGTGATACTGGAATTTTGAAGAACATTACACATCACAGAACGCTTTCAGTTAAAATAATAAAAATAGATATTTTATAACGATGAATAAAAACAAAGCTGCTGCAAGAATAACACTGACTACTGATATGCTTCTTCTCATCACAAGTTGTCCAAATTTTTTGTAGAAGTTTATAGAGAATTATACATGTGCATGTATACAATTTCTCCAGTCACTTTTAAAAAGAGCATGAAACATAGTGGGTCACTGGAATCTATCAGCCACATGAATAAACAGCATGCAGTATGAAATTATGAATTTGATTCATCTAATGAAATTAACAGGATGCTACAGAGAAATTATTTTTTTCTACAAGAATACAGAAGTTTAAAGCATCAAAAATTTAATGATCTTTTAACATTTAAGTGGTTACTAGTTCTTCAGTTTAGCAAAATTGAAGTTCACAGCAAGTTTTTTCCTGAATATAGGCAAACATTAACTCAGATGTTAAACAAGCATAAAAAAACCCTTGATGATAAACAAGTTCTCTAAAATTTACACATTATTTCATATTAGTTAAAATTATTTAAATGATTAGCTGTATTTTAAATATTGATTTTTTTCTGTGAATGTTTCAATTGTTTACTTTTATTACTCTACTTTTTTTCCAGAAAAACATATCTAAGATATTTGCAAAAGTAAAGAATAGCTTTCCTTAGCTTTTTCAGCATTAAATGGATATTTCAATACCACCTCTTTGGCAAGTTTCATTTTCAAACATTGCATGTCTTGATTTTTTGGTGGGGTTTTTGCATGCAAATAACTATAGGCAGTGCTGATTACAATCCTTCAATAAGGGTGCCCATTTCCCTTCTCTTTTAGCTCAATTTAACTGACAAATTTCAATTCTTGAGCATGTGTCCTGGTTTTGCTGGGATAGAATCAATTTTCTATTCAGGAAAGCTGCATTTTTGAGAAGACTGCAGCACCCAATTTGGTGGGAACAAAGCTGATAAGACACTTTGCTTTAGTTCATGGCCAGCACTGGTATGCAGGTTGCCATAGAGATCAAGGTCTTTTAGCAGTTTCAAATTAGCCAGGTAGGGAAGCTAGGAGGAACAAAAGCCAGGGCAGCTGACCCAAGCTGGTCAACAAAATTCCATACCATAGACATCACACTCACTATAAATTGAAAAGTTTGCTGAGGATGGTCCTTCTTCTCTCTTTTCTTAATGGTTGTCATCCCTGGAGGGTCTCACCCATCACTCTGCTCCCAAGGACTACTCTTCTGTTTGTTGTGACCATTGCGCTTTTGCTGAAGCTGCGGCGCTTGCAGTGTTTGTCATCTAGCATTCACTGATGGGAGTACGCAGCTCACGACCACTATATGAGCTGAGTATAACTTTGTGTACTTTATATTAATATTAGTATTAATATTAGTTTCTTATTATTTTATTAAATCTGTTTCCATTTCAACCCAAGTGTCTTCTTTACTTTTCACAATTCCACTCCTTGGGTGGGGAGGGGTCATCAGGTGATAAAACTGACTAAACAGAGACAGCATGGTATTTCCGTACTTCCATGGTATCACTCAGGATCAAGCTTTTGAGTTTTAGCAACAGTAATTTAGTTGTTTTCAAGTATGAAGTAAAATACAGCAGGAAAGAAAAAAAAGCACATAATGTTATTGCATTTATTCAAGTCTAGTTCTTTTGGATCCTCATACAATACACTAAAGTCAACAACTTAATCCTAGGAAAATGTGAATTATGATGCCTTGGTGTTCACGTGCATGAAAGGCTGAATTTTAAGCTTGAAAAAAAAAAATCACCTTGAATATTCATTCTTTCTAACTTGTAGGAACTTGATTAAATTCTTCTAATTTAGTTTTTATTTTTAGGTACATAAAAAGGCTGATACTAATGTCTGTGTTTAGACTTCCTAATATTTTCTATTATTACAACTACTTAGGCTCTTTGGCTTGTAACAGGCTTCAAGCATACAGGTCAGGAGAAGTTATGTATCCAGAAAAATATATTTATTCAATCTATGAAATTTCACCTGTGACTGTCATAAATTACGTATATTTAAAATCACCATTTTCATTCTGTCATTGTTTTTGTCAGTAAGATTGACAACAGGCCAAAAGAACAACTGACTACGCAGATTTCAATGTTGATTCATGTCACTGGCAATGCATCAGGCACCAGGAGCAAGCCAGGAAGCACTTTTGGAGAGAACTGAGACACAGGTAGGCCTGACATACTGCTTCATACATCTTTTCCCTTCTGACTGTGCCTTATAACAGATATTATGAAAAATTACATTCCTTGTTCTTCATTTATGTGCCTGCTGTGTGCTGCAACAGTTCCAAGGATGCTTTTCTAAAAGTATGCCAGAGTTTATTCTTTGGCAAATCAGCATCATAGTGATATTGAGGGCACTTACATACTATTTAGCTTCTTTTCAGCTATCTCTGTACAGTATATCTTTCATGAAGTATAACATGGAAACTAGACTTTTTTTTTTACTTTAAATACTTAGAAAACAGAAATAACTGCTCCACATTTTTTCCAGAAGCACTAAATATTATCAGAAGTAATTTAATAATTGTCTGCAAGCTTAGTACAGTTGTAAAACATTTATCATGGAAATAATACCAACTACTGTAACTGTCATGACAACGTTAGCACTCTTCCTGCCAAAACGGAAAAGTCTACATTAGGAAGCAGCACAGCCTAACAGGATTTGGTCTATGAAACAAAACAATCACAGCTGAGTTTACCTCCACATATACATATTTTAGAGATTTTGTTTCAGACTAAATTTATCCAATCCCCAGATTTAACATCTGTTAATATTTGGAGCAAAAGTTGCACTCCTGGAGGGTATCATTTAAGATAGTCAATGTAAAAGGAATGCTCCAGGAACACTCGGCTGCAAGAATTGAGAGAGGCAGTACAACCTAGACTGTTTCTAAGTGACACTGATTAAAATGCTAATGGACACATCCACAGACTAGTACTGTAGTATTCCATCTTGCAGAAAAGACACATTAATGAACATAAGAATTACTGTGATTTATTCTTTCAAGTAGCCTGTTATCACAGAGCTATCTGGGCATAGCTGACATTATTTTCAATCAGTTTCAGTAAAGTCCAAGCAATTCAGAGTAGGTGGTTAGAAAGAAAAAAAAATATTCTTTTATACAGAGTAAAGGGAAAAAAAAGTTAAAATCTAGAATAAGAATGCTACCCAGAAATAATTGAAAAGAAAAACAAAACTCCATTTGGAAAAAAAAAATCATCTCCAAATGACAAAACCTCAGAAAATTAAATATTTAGAGGGAATCTGGATCATTTGTTGGGGGGTAAAAAACAACAACAACAAAACCCCAAACAAAACCCTACATTACTCCTTTAAAAAAGTCTACATTTTAAAACTGTAGTAATTCTTTCCTACGCTTTACTTGCAGTACCATATGCATTAAAAAGATTCATTCAGATTATTATTACTCACCCAGCTTGGAAAATCAGACCAAGTTGGAACCCGTTGACAGAGGTCACGAAGAATACGTATGATAACCACACAGGACTGCAGACCATTAGCTCTAGCCTTGAGAGCAATACAAAACCAAATTAATTAATTAATCCCAGCATCTACAGCAAATAGGACTTGTTGAAAGACTAAAACACCACTGTTCAATGGAAGCTCAGATACAAGATTAAAACAAATAATTCTATGTTATTCCATGAGCTGCCATTTACAGCAGTATTTTATACAGGGTTAGTAATTTAAGGTGGCAGAAGTCAAAGTGCACAGGTTATACAAGAATAATATTTCTTGATCCCCTGTACACTTTGACCTATGTTCACTTGTAACAATAAATGCAGTGTCTTTCTATATTAGAAATAAGAAAGAATAAAATAAAGGTCTAAGAAATAGAGACTGAAAGGTCAAGGGAATCTGTTTGGTTTCTTTATTGTGCCTTTGCCAGAATGCAAAGTCACTAAACCAAACAGTTGCTTCTCACCTTTCATTCCCTAACACTTAGTACACTTAAAGAAATAGGGAAAAAAAAGTCTTAAATCTAAACACAAAGCTTTAAACATATTCTATTATTTAAAGCAAAGTTACTCTGCAGCCTTAGGTTTCTTTATTGTGCCTTTGCCAGAATGCAAAGTCACTAAACCAAACAGTTGCTTCTCACCTTTCATTCCCTAACACTTAGTACACTTAAAGAAATAGGGAAAAAAAAGTCTTAAATCTAAACACAAAGCTTTAAACATATTCTATTATTTAAAGCAAAGTTACTCTGCAGCCTTATGGAATATATATCAAATATACAACGTATAATCACCACAAGCAAGTCAAGCTTTCAACATTGCTTTCTCAATGACCAGAAAAAAAAATCATGTCAAATGAGCAAAAACCGCATAAAGCAGTTTCTCCATACTCAACCTTAGCATGAACAATGCTGAGTGTTTTCAACACAGTTAAACATTTATATTGCAACTGAACTAATCTCTCATAAGGCTACAAGAAGAAAGTAAAATGATGTTCCGAACCTGGAACCACTTAGCGTGGCGTAGAGCAGCCAGAGCATCAAGGCATTTTTGTCTGTCCAAGACGTCCGGTGGGTCTTTCACCATACCCGAGGTTACATCTAAAATGGATTGAATTGGCAAAATGCAGTGAGGAATGGGTGTTTGACCAGGTGAGCAAGACACTTCCTTAAAGTAGCTTCAATGTCACACATGCCATTTAAAGTTTAAACACTTGAACAACAAATGTAAAAGTTCAATAAAAGCCATTCAATTAGGATTAGGGCATCAACCCATTATGAAGATCAAGAGCATATTATACTTTAGCTCTCAGGTTATTTTCAAATGCATTGCAGATTATGCAATGCGTAGTACTTCTTTATTTAAGGTAACACTGGAAAAACGCATATCCCCCAAATTAAATCCTGAAGGAAGGATGGTTGGACACAGTGCACCAGCAGAGAGAACACAACACAGAAGGAACACAAAAATCCACTTTAACCGAGTAGAAACATTCAAACTTAGTTTCTTGTAAATTTTAATGGTTACGTATTATTTGGGATCTACTCTTTAAAAGAAAAACTAAGTATAAAAAAAAAAATCTTAAAAGCATTAGATGTTTAGTAATTATGTTATTTTTATCATACCTAAAACTTAAAATGGAAATTATTTTGCTTTAAAAAACCTGACTAAAGGAATGTGAAATGTTCTTCCGTATTATTTCCATTAATTGCTAGTACCCTCTCTGTTATTCATATAAATAAATACCTCAGCCCATGATATACATTGCTCCAACATCATTTAGGATGCAAGGAAGGATCTGAAAAGGGACTGCTTTATTTAAGATTCAACAGAAAAAAGAAAATCAAGGAATAGTTAAAAGAAAAAAGCAGAACGTCTGAAAGAAAGAAAATATGGTAGATCTTGTATACTTAAATGTTCACAAAAGGTTTAATTAAGTTACCAAGATGATGGCTTTGTTACCAAAAAGAGAAAGACCACAAAGCCCTTTTGGAAGTGTTTTAATCAATGAAACTGGAACCACTGAACAATATGAAATGGTATCTTTGGGTTACTTAAAAACTGTAGGGATATAATGCAATTATCAGCTTTAGAAGTTCTTTGTTCTACTAATTACGAAATGGCCACTGCGACTAGTGACAAAGTATACTGGTAGCCTAACTGGTGATACACCAGATAAGATGAAAGAAAAAGCCCTCATTCAATGGCACTCATTTCATGGGAGCTGGCTGTATGGAACAATATAGATTACTCCAGCAAGATATAAATTTAGATAAGTCTGAGAATAAAATTTTATAAAATTTTTTTTTAGTCTCATGAAACATGCCAGCTTCTAGGGATGCTGCAGAGAGAGCTCTGAAACCACCTATTTATACACAAATGTAAAATAAATAGTAGGGTACTTTATGGAAAACTAAAAAGCCATGAATAAACATGGTACTATAACTTTGCAATATAATCTGAAGTACTACATTCAGATTTGAGCATTTTTTTTAAATAGTCCCACTACTCTGCAAAGGGCTAAAAGGGTGAGGATTTCAAAATAAGAACAAAGCTGAGAATAACAAAGGTATCTTCTCACACAGATATTCAAACATATGGACTATATGTTAAAGCAGAAATAAGAAAAGCTGCACTAACAAGGCATTGACAGAGCAAATTAAGACATTTAAAGCAGTATTTCATTTAAAACAAAACAAAACAGAAAAACCTACACAAGAGAGATGCCAGGTAAGATAACTAATGAATCAAGTAAAACTTGGATATAAATGACAAGGAGTACATTTAGAGAAAACTGATATTAGAAAAAAAAAAAAAAAAAGGCAAAGTAAGGTTGAGAAATTAAAAATAAATATATGGGTCTATTGGGTCTATTAGCCTAATCGGTCAATTTTTTACATTCTTCTAAAACTAATATTCAAATAGGTGACACTGTACAAACATTTATCACAATAATTCACCACATAATTTGAAAGTCCAATTCCTTCTAGCTCTGAAAAACTTTAATTTGGAAAATAATTTTATTAAAAAGAATTATAGTTTCAGTGCACAGAAGAGAATCTTCCTGAATGCTGGAAATTTTGACCTAAAACGTGCTACTAATATTGGGTTGGCCAAAAACTAATTGCATCTTTTTCAGGGTAAATGAAAGGTGACTTTTTCATGGGAAGCAGAAACTGTATTACTCTGTATTACTATATTGTCCATTTCAATCTATTACCTTTTGCCATCTTTCAGGCAATTTCATGATTCCACGCTCAAAAATGTTACTTTTTTCGGCAAAAAACAGTTCCAAGAACGAT